TGTGAGCAGCCCGATGCCCACAACCCTCCCGAGGTCTCTGGTCCTGGTGTGTGAGCGGCCCGGCACCCACAGCCCTCCCGAGGTCTTGGGTCCTGGTGTGTGAGCGGCCCGGCACCCACAGCCCTCCCGAGGTCTTGGGTCCTGGTGTGTGAGCGGCCCGGCGCCCACAGCCCCTCGAGGTCTCGGGTCCTGGTGTGTGAGCGGCCTGATGCCCACAGTCCTCCTGAGGTCTTGGGTCCTGGTGTGTGAGCGGCCCGGCGCCCACAGCCCCTCCCGAGGCCTTGGGTCCTGGTGTGTGAGCGGCCCGGCACCCACAGCCCCTCCTGAGGTCTTGGGTCCTGGTGTGTGAGCGGCCCGGCGCCCTCCTGTCTCCACAGCCCGCCCGGCTGCAGGGTCTCATCCTTCGCTCCCAGCTCATTGTCCTTCTGAAGCACAAGGTGGGTCTGGGGGTGGAGGTGGGAGATCTGGTGTGGACGGGGGCGAGTGTCAGGGCCCTGGGGAGATGTGGACGGGTGTTGGGGGCCCAGGGAGGATGGGGGTGGGTGTCGGGGTGCTTAGGGGAAGATGTGGATAGTGTCAGGGTCCTGGTGTGAACCTGGGCAGGTGTCGGGGTCCTGGGGGGGTGGGGGGGTGTTGAGATCCTGGGGCAGATGTGAGCTGGAGTGGAGCTTCCAGGGCAGATGAGGGGGAGTGTCAGGAGTCCTGGAGTGGATATGGGTCAGGGGTAGGGTTTCTAGGGGATATTTGGGGCAGGGGTGGGTGTTGGGGTCCCAGGGCAGGCAGGAGCCCTGCGTGGACCCTGTACCCCCACTGCCACCTGACACCCCTCCATGACAGGTGTTCGTGGAGCGCTCCCACCTGGGCCCGGTACAGCGCAGGCTGCGTCTGAAGGACTTCCGGGACGCCTACCCCCGCTTCCCGCCCATCCAGTCCATCCACGTGTCCCAGGACGAGCGCGAGTGCACCATGGACCTGTCAGAGTTCATGAACCCCTCGCCGTACACGGTGCCCCAGGTATGGGGGCCATGCAGGTGCAGGCTGAACAGAGGCCTGGCCTGCCCGGGGGCCTGGGCAGACTCATGGAGGGTCGAGGGGGGCTGCCAAGCAGGGTGGCCGACTGCGGTGTGATGGCGTGTGTGTGTTGGTGGTCTTTGAGAGGGCTGCTGGGGCTGGGCTGGGGGCCACCGGGGCTGAGGCCGTCTCCCGCTGCAGGAGGCATCTCTGCCCCGGGTGTTTAAGCTGTTCCGGGCCCTGGGCCTGAGGCATCTGGTGGTGGTGGACAACCGGAACCAGGTGAGTGGCCCGCGGGGGGGCGGGCTCCCGGTGCGGCGTCCTCTCCCCGTGGCTCAGCGTTCAGTGCGGACACTGGGGCTGTCCCGCAGGTGGTGGGGCTCGTGACCAGGAAGGACCTCGCGAGGTACCGGCTGGGCAGAGGCGGCCTCGAGGAGCTCTCGCTGGCCCAGACGTGAGGCCCGCGAGGCCGGGTGTCCCTGCCGCACTCCCCGTCACCTGCGCTGCCTGGTCTCGTGGAAGCCGGCGGGAGACGCAGTCCTTCCAGACCCCGCCTGTCCCCAGGCATTCCCGGCACCGCTCCCAGCACCCCTCACTGCCTCCAGGTTGATTCTGTTCCTGCCGTCTGCCACATGGAGCCACACGTGTGTGCCTGGGAGGGAGCATGTGTGGACGTGAGAGAGTGCACACGTGTGGGTGTGAGCATGTCAGTGCGGGGTGGAGAGTGTGTGTCGGGAGTGTACACATCAGTGTGTATGCATCCATGTGTGAACATGAGTGCATGTGGGGGAGTGTGGTGAGTGGGTATGTGAGAACACGTGTGAGCTACACCTGTGTGCATTTGTGAATGTGTGTGTCTGTGAGAAACTGAGCCGGGGACCCCGCTGCTGCTTCGACCCTCTGTGGCCCCAGGTCCACCCCCGTGACTCCAGGGCCTGACTGTGTGGCCTCAGGGCCCCCCTCGCTGTGACCTTGTTGGTGCAGACGGTGTGTCCCTCACCTCCGACACCACAGGTGGCTGTGTCGTCTGCTGTCCTTTGCCCCGACCACTGCTGCAAGGTCCCAGCCCACTCCCCTTGGCCACAAGCTTGGGGTTGTCTGCTGTGCAGTGGGGTCTGTGGCCAGTACGGGTACTTCCGGCCGGGACGAAGGCCACAGCCGGCCACAGAGGCGCCTGGGGCTTGAAGTGGGTCCGGAGCCTCTCTCTGGAGACACCAGCCGCCCTCGAGATTGGGCAAAGGCTCTGGCCGGCCTCGGGAAACACTGGGCCCCTCCTGCCATACTACAAGCCTGAGGTCACAGGCCTGCGACCTGCCCTGCATCTCGGCACCGGGGTGGGTGGGGCGCTGGAGGCTTCTGGGGCCAGCAGTGACGCCCTTTCTCCTGCTGTGGTGGCCTGATCCTCAGCCACCCAGTTTACCCAGGTGGGGGCAGCCCTGGGCACCGGGAGCCAAAGGTGGTCTTGGTGAGAGCTGGAGGGGTGCTTCTTTGGGGGCTCCTGCGAGAGTTCCTGGTGTCCCCTGGCTTATACCCGTCACCAGACGGTGCGGGCGTCCGAGCACAGCCTGTCCCCAGAGTCGCCTCCTTCCAGGAAGGCCATGGCCCTGAGAGTCCGCCCCTTCCTGGGGGTGTCGACTGTGATCCCCTGTGGGTAGGGTCTGCACCGGGAAATAAAGGACCCGGCCTCGAAAGGCCTGCTGGGTCGTTCCCGAGGCTTGATGTCCAGCGTGCTGAGTGCTGGTGGGACACAGTCTGCTCGGGCGTTGGGAGGACAACAGTGGAGCCCGAGGCAACCTGGGGGACAAGCCCTGCCATCGAGAGGGTCTGGGGGACGGGGCTGCAGCCCCACTCAAGCAACACCTCAGAACACCCGCTGCTCTGCGGTCCCCAGCTTCCTGTCCCCACCGGGGTGGGTGCAGGACACCGTGGGGAGGGGGTGGGGTCCGAGCAGGGCTGGGAAATGGCCAGCAAGGCTGGGCCTGTGTGCGGGGCTCAGTGCAGGGCCAAGGTGGCCAGCCTCCCGTCCGGCGGCTTCAGCCGCAGTGACCAGCAGCCCGAGGCTGACCTTGGGAAGGCGCCCTGAGTGGTGTGCTGGCCGCGGGTTCACCGCCTCAGAGCACGGCCCAGGCGGCCCTGCCCAGGTGTGGGGGCCAGAGGACACATGGCGACAGTGGGGGTGCACTAGGCCTCCACACTGCGGCCTGAGATCTTGTTAGTCCGTTAGTGACTTTTGTACCGATGACATTTTGAATATGTCAGATTAAATAATAAAGACTTCAGATTGCTCTCATCGGCTCTTTGCTACCGTGGGGGCGCCGTCACAAGAACCCCTTCCCAGCTAGTGCCCTGTCCCTGGGCCATGTGTCTTCAGGTCTCGTCCCTGGGACACAGTCGTCGTTAGTCCACCCTGCACCCCACTCCCACCAGGTCAGGCCAGGACACCCTGCCCCTGCCCTTGGCCCCCAGGTGACCCAGCCGTGAGAGGGGTCCCTTCCAGAAACGGGCAGTTGGGAGGCCAGGTGGCACCCGGAGTTGGACCGTTGAGCCTAGGTTCTGGTGAGGGAGGGAAGGTTCCAGAGCGGGCCCCTGCCACTCCTATCCCCTGCTGCCGTGTTCTCAGGAAGGGCACAGGGTGTGAGATAGGGGTCTGCCACCCCACAACCCCCAGCCTTCGGGCCCCACTTCCCTGCTCTGGAAGACACTCCCACGCAGCCCAGGTGGCCCAGGCCGCTGAGGAGTTGTGTGAGGTAAGCAGCTGAGGGGAGGCCTGGGGCTGCAGAGCCGGGCGGCTGAGGTCTGCTCCCTGACGGGTGGCTCCCCCGGCCTGTGGGCCGCTGCTGCGTACCTGAAGGCCCTGTCACCCAGCGTGAGGACCGTGCCTCGTCTCGCGAGGGAGTCCTCGCTCGGGGCCTGGGCCGCCCCGGCCGTGATCAGAGGCCCCTGCACAGGGAGCCTCCCGCTGCAGTGCTGGCGGACCTGGACGGGACTCCGTCGTCGGAGGCCTCGCGCCCCTCCCAGCTGAGCAGCACCCTGTCCCTGGAGGACCTGGAGCTCATCTTGGGGGATGACCTGGCCAGCCCTGGGCCCCCGAGCCTGGATGAGATCCCAGAGAAGTGTGAGGCTGGCTGCCTGGCGCCAGCCACCTCAATGTCCGAGCAGGACACCCGCAAGCTCTGGAGGCAGCTGGAGCAGCGGTGAGCCGGGACCCAGCGGGGGAGTCCCCTGACGCCCAGGGACCGAGCCCAACCTGCTCTCTGCTGCCCGGCAGCCTGGCCAACCTGCAGGCCGAGGTGGCTTGCCTCCGGGGACACGGGGACCGGTGTGCGCGGGCCACCCTGAACCTGCTGCGGGAGCTGCTCCGGGTGCGGGCCCAGGCGCAGGTGCAGGGCGCCGAGCTGCGGCAGCTGCAGCGAGACATGCGGCAGGCGGGCCTGGGCCCCCAGCAGGAGGCCTGCGAGGTGGGTGCCGCCCGGGGGGCTCCCTGCCCTGGCTTCCTGACTTGGAGCTCAGAGCCCTGCCCCTGCCCTCGGGCTCCCCTGGGCCTGCACCGAGCCCCCACCTCCTCCTTGCAGCCCTCCAGCACCCTGAGCCAGACCCAGATGCAGGCCCTGGACAAGAGGTACCCCACCTGGGGAAGGAGGCTTGTAGGAAAGGGAGAGGTTCAGGCTTTGGGAGACTGGCCCGTGCTGGCACCCGTCTGGAGACAGTTGCCCCTTCCCCTCCCCGTGAACTGTCTGTTTTGGTAAATTACGTATGCACAGCCCACGTTCACATGTCTGGAAGGGCCCTGGCAGCCTAGAGAGGCTCAAGAAAGGGTTGAGGGGTTCACTGGGGACAGGGGCTGGCCATGGGGCTCACTGGAGGGCCTGTGTGGGTGGAGCTCACTGGGGGTCTCACTGTAGAGGGCTTGCTATGGAGGGCTGCCTGCTGGGCTCACTGGGGGGCACTGGATGGGGGCCTCCTGGGGGGTCTCTGTAGGAGGGCTGCTATGGAGGGTTGGCTACGGGGCTCACTTGGGGGCACTGTGGGTGTGGGCCTCACTGGGGATCTCTGTAGGGGGCTTGCTATGGAGGGCTGGCTGTGGGGCTTATTGGGGGGCACTGTGGGTGGGGGCTTATTGGGGGGCACTGTGGGTGGGGGCTTCCTGGGGGCACTGTGAGTGGGGGGCTCACTGGGGGTCTCACTGTAGAGGGCTTGCTACGGAGGGCTGACTGAGGGCTCACGGGGGGCACTGTGGGTGGGTAGGGGCCGCCACCGGCAGCGTGACACCAACAGGAGTGCTGGCTATGCACCAGGTTGATGGAGGTCTGCGAGGCCCTGGCTCAGATCCGCAGGAAACAGGCCCTTCAGGACTCAGAGCGCAAGAGCTCAGACGAGGAGCTGACCGCCAGGTGCACCCCTTGCCTGCCCACCCTGCTGTCTCTGTGTCCCCAACACTGAGAGCCTGCAGACAAGCTGGGGCTGATGGGAGTCCCGCTGAGGATGCCGGCAGAGAAGGGATTCGGAGGTCTCAGGGGCCTTGTTCTCCCCTGTGTTCCGGGGGGCTGGGGGGTGCTTCCTGCCCTGGGCCTTGATGTCAGCCCGGCCCTCAGGGCAGGCCCCCACCAGCCCTGCCCCCCCACTGACCTGTGTGACCCACTAACGCTGTCCCCAGGTTGAACAAGTTGATGGGGAAGCTGAGACAAGAGGGCCAGGACCGGAAGGCGGCCTGTGGGGCCCTGCGGAGGAGCCAGGCGGAGGCCAGCCAGCGGGTGGAGCACGAGGTGGCCAAGATGCAGGTACAGCCGTGCCCGAGCAGGGCGTCAGCCCCTAATGCCACCGAGAGAGTGGAACTGGAGAGGGCCAGCCCACCCGCCCCTCTGCAACAAGCTCCTCCCTCACCTCCTCTCAGGGAACACGAGATCCGCTGAGGAATGACCAGTCAGTCACACCACTGAGACCTCAGTCACAAATAAAACGATAAACAAGTATAAATGAATAAGAACTGAATAGGTTAAAATAGGAGAATGAATAAATAAAAATAATCAGCCAGTCAATTAAACAGTCAACCAGTAAATGAAACTGTCATTCAGCCAGTTAATGAACCAATCAGTCTATCTATAAACAGTCGATCAACCAACCAATTAAGTCACCCCACTAACCAATCAATGAACCAAATAGAATCAATCAATCAAACCAATCAATCCAACAAATGAACTAATTAATTCAATTATCAACCAGTCAAATGATTGATACTAAATTTAATGTTATCAGATTCAATGTTACTGAATTTTTATTACTATATTTTATTTAAACAGCCCTGGTGGCACAATGCATAAGGCTGCTGACTGCTGACCAGAAGGTTAGGAGTTCAAACCCACCAGTGGCGGCGCCATGTAAGGAAAACCCACTGCCGTCAAGTCGGATTCGACTCATAGTGACCCCTCCTTGGGTTTCTGAGGCGGTATCACTGTGGAAGTAGATTGGGAGTGGCTGGTGGTTTTGAACTGCCAGCCTTCTGGTTAGCAGTCAAGTGCCTTAGGCACTACGCTACCAGAGCTCCCCCATGGAAGGAAGATGGAGGCACCTACTTCCACAAAGACTTCCTGCCTTAGAAAACCAGAGTCAGAATCGACTTGATGGCAGTGGGTTGTGGGTTTTTTTATATTTTATTGAACATAATCTGATTTTATTC